AATTCTGGATTGATGACATAAAGACATGGTAATTATTCAAATATGAGTCATATGCTCTAAAAAACAGGGATGACCAGAACATTTGCCAATTTAGAGAAAAGTTAACGCTACTGTTTTGAATCCAGTGAACCCAAAATCCACTGTGCTATTTGACAGAGACATGAGTCCTGTCTCTGTACGGTGCCGTGCCGTGGATTACCTGTGTTTCCTTGGTCAACTTACCAAACCTCCCTGTATTTACACCATGGGGTCTCTGAAAGCCTATAATCCAGTTCAAACAACAGAATGATTAGGCAAATGGCTGGGAGCCAAGTCCAATTTTAGTTCTTCTTATCAGCACTTGGCTGCCTCTACCTCGAACCTCAGCACCTTTTAGCTTACTTGGACTAATTGAGGCAACTAAGAATGGTAACGTATTCAAAAGGAGGAAAGGCAACAGGCATATCATTATCAGGGGAATTTTCATGTGCGATAACACAAACATGTTGTTATGTTGAAACTCCTGCTGCCTGGGCAATTGTGAAAGCACAGTCCATACTGGGGCACCCAAAGGTGTGTCAGGACTCACGAACTGAGGAAGATTTGAAGATGTAAAATGGGACAGTAGGCTTTGCTTGTAATTCAGCACAGAAATTGAGCCAGAATAAGGCTGAAGATGGCAAGATTGTATGGGTCAGATGTAATAAAGATTTTCTTTAATTCCTTTAAATGAGTTATTAAGCAATCGGCCCCCAATAAGCCCTAAGACAGTTACTGTAGTACTAAGACAGAGACTACAGATAACAGAGACTAATTCCTCAAAGCACGACTTCTTCATATTTAGAAAAAAAAAAACTTGAATATTAATACTCCCTGACTCACAGATACTCTGAAGGTCAAGAAAGCATCAGAGATAATATTCCAGACTCTTGCTCATGAAGAGTTGGAGGATTATCAAAGAAGACAAGAAGAGATCACTAGATATAGTAATTGGCAATATGCAAGAGAGAACAAGAAAGACAGGATCAACATTCTATTTTCAGATGTGAATCAAAAAACAAAGTGAATCTAACTATGGTTTATATAATTTATAACGTCTTCCAAGCATGCATTTTATGCTTTGGTAAACAATATTTACATGAATTCAGAATACACTGTTTCTGATTTGTTCTTTGGCCCAAAGGTGTATTACTCAGATATTTATAAAGAAATTTTGATCCTTAAAAGTGAAGGGTGGCAGAATAGCCCACCCCCCAAAATGCCACTTTGGCATAAGAATTATTTGAACTGAAGGCACTTGAAAAACAGCAAGTGCACGAAGGGTGCTCTAATCTCCCCTTCTTCTTCCTAAAATGGGGAGATAAAACTCCCATGTGAAAGATGTCCTCCCTATACCGGAAGGAAGGAAACATTCTCATCACCAGAGATGGGGAGTCAAGCTGAGAGAATTCTATAGAAACAGATCTTGTTAAATTAACTCTTATCTTCCTTTAGCCTCCCATAGAGTTTGGCTATTTTTCTACAATTGCCTCTCTTTGTTCAACCTAGTATAAAAGCATTTATACTAGGTTGAACTTTTTGGGGTCTTCCTTTCCTTATAAAGACTCCTGTGTCACGTAAAGCTTATATTAAATAAATTTCTGCTATTACTCTGTCTTACATTAATTCTTAGGCCCAGCTGAAAGCTCTAGGAGGGCAGAGATAAAATTCTGCCTCCTCTATGAAAATAGCGAATACATGAAGAGTGAATTAGATTAGATCTAAATGGACAAACTTAAGAAAAAAGAGAGATTTAGCCTAGACCAGCCATTCAACCTACCTGGAAATTCTACAGTTGCTAATAGGCTTATAATAAGTAGTGGGCCAAATACTAATTCATCTATAATACATGTTAAAAGGAAGATCAGATGCTGCATCCTAATTCAGTATGCATTAGGTAACCTCTCTTTAAAATCTTATCAAAGACTTCACTATTTTAGTATATTTCAGTATGTACTGAGCAGCAGTCTTAAAGCAGATATGAAGTAAAAGACAGCAATTGCCTAACACAAAACTTATATTAAATTGCATCTATATTTTAAAGCTACATTCATTTGATGTAACAAGGATTTGTAAGGCCTGTACCCAAGAGTCACTACGGTTGAAGAGTTTAGCTTAAACTGCCTGGCCACATTTACAGAAAACATTTGGATAACTCCTGCCTCTCACACTTGCCAAACCTTTCAAGTATAGAGACTTGACATAATTTCTTTAGCACCTTTCCCATCTCTAAAGCAACAGCAAAAAAGCTACACAGTAATAACACCACACCTTAAGTTAGTCATATCAAGTGGCCAGCTCCACCTACTATTTTGCCATCAAAGACTATTTCCCTCCTTTGAGAATTAAATATGATTCAACTTTGTTACTACATAAAGCAAATATGTTTAGCCATAGGGAACTTTTTGGAGTGACCTTCAATTTGCCTTCATTACACCATTACTACTTAATTCAAATGGTATGAGCCAGGATTCACTAGTAGCTCAAATATTCAAACCAAACCTAGTTAATGATGTAGCTCCCTAAACCTTAACTTAAAGCCACAATATTTTTGCTCTTAGCTTCCTTACATATTAACACTGAAAACCTTATTTAAAAGATGAGCCTAATAATTTCCAGTTATCTCATAAGTTTACCTCTAATCTTGATAATTGCTGGTGTGTACTTGCTGGATGGAATCCCTTTTGGAGATCTTAAAGGTCTGCTTTCCTTCCTGGAAAAGCTCAAGCTTTGGATTTAGGCAAAAGTGCAAGGATATTCCATCTAGGCCTCTATATACCAGAGTCTGGTAAAGACTGACTATGTCCCCTTTCTGGCAAAATAGATCTCTTCAAGAAGGATGAAAAAAGAGGTGATACCCAGGAAGAAAACTCCTACTCATGCTTTTGCTTTCCCAAGTCTCCAAATATAAGCTTTTTCCCCTTGAAGCTTAAAAACACAACTGTGCCATAAAAATCTTTTATTTACCTGCAGTAGGACCCAAGCATAATTTAATCGCTAAATACCACATTATTTTACATGAAAAATAAGGCAAGGTCAACAAGCCTCCGAGGCAGGGATTTTAAATCATCTTCATGGAAATTCACAGCTACACTGAAGATTCCTGCAGAATGACAATCACGTGGTAAGGCAACCTTTAGAATCCATGACTTTGCCGAGAAGCAACACTATTATTCATAAGTGCTCTATGAAAAAGCAGGAAGCGTTTCGAAATAAGCCTCTGGCTTCAAAAGACGACTTTTCAAACGAACTTTTGGTTTTCTGTAACCAACAAAAACAACAACAAAAAGCTGAGCCCAACGCTGATTATCCCCCTTTCTCTGAGGTGACATACATCAATTTATTCTCATATCTGAAGTAGAGAAGCCCTGTTCTTAAATAAATGAGTATGTCAGTTATAACTCTTCAATACTTTCTCGTATGTAATAAGCTGTTAATGACAAGAGCACTACCCAGCAGACAGACCTGTGTCCCTGACTCTGCTACCAGTTGGGTGCCCACCCCTACAGGCTTCTGTTATGCAAGCGGAGGATGAAGGACGGTCTCTCCAACCCTGAACATATGCTCCCATCCGAATGCTCTAATGCAGACTGACCTTAACATGGATGATGACTGAACAGGGTAACTCTTGGTACCACTTCCATATTTAAATTTTCCCAAAGTTAACGTCTTTTTCAATGTGCACATCCCACCCACCACACCAGTCAGAGTTCAAGTTTTCATACATTAGAGCAAGGAGGGTATGTACCCCTCAAGCAGGGATATTACGCTCCCAAATGACAACTGAGAGCAAATGCCAGGGAAATAATATATTGCGGTTGGGGAGGCAGGCGTGGGGCTAGGTGCTGGTTTAGGGAGGGAAGAGGAACATAAGGTTTCAAGAGAAACGTTCCCAAATCTTCGCCTGGGTGGCCTGCCCCAGGGATGAGAGCAAGGTATATGAAGAATGGGGTTTCGCTCACAAGGAAGTGTCTCAGACCCAAGGTGGGTGATGAAAAACCTTCCGAAAAGGAACCTGGTTTCTAGTCTTGGTTGTGTCACTAACCAGGAGCATCACTTTGGTAAGCCGTTCAACCACTCTGAACCTCAGTTCTCACCTGTGAAACATTAAAGCAAATGAGAGGACCCAGCCCCCTCCCTTCGCTCCTCCTTGTCAAGATTCAGAGTTAAACCTGGGGATAAGACGGGAATAAAGACGCAGACCTACTAGAGAATGGACTTGAGGACACGGGGAGGGGGAAGGGTAAGCTGGGACAGTGAGAGAGTGGCATGGACATATATACACTACCAAACGTAAAATAGATAGCTAGTGGGAAGCAGTCGCATAGCACAGGGAGATCAGCTCGGTGCTTTGTGACCACCTAGAGGTGTGGGATAGGAAGGGTGGGAGGGAGACGCAAGAGGGAAGAGATATGGAGACATATGTATATGTATAGCTGATTCACTTTGTTATCAGCAGAAACTAACACACCATTGTAAAGCAATTATAATCCAATAAAGATGTTAAAAAAATTTTAAAAATAAACTTGAAAAAAAAAAAGATTCAGAGTTAAAACTTCGGGAAAAGCCCCCATGGCGTTCTCACCTCTGGTCAGGTGAGAGCGCCAGAGCACAGGGCCCTCCCCTCCATCTCTTAAAAATAAGAGCTCTCCACACACTGAGCTGAGGCATCTAACCAGGGTTACTCATTTATGCATTTATTTACCTTGTCCTGCTTTTAAATTCTTCGACTACTACTGCCTGTTCCACTGTCCTGATTCCCCTGGAGTCCACGCGACCACATCCCTTTCCATCTTTCTAAGTGGTTTAGTCCCTTTCTTCTAAACTGACACGGGCAGGCGAGTTCGGACAGAGGACAGAGAAAGAAGAAAAGGAGACCGAAAGCAGCCGAGCGGCCCCTGGCTCCAGACGGCTGGAAACCCGGCGGGCGCCTCCTGCCCGCCGCGAGGTCGCCGCGTCCGCGCCTCGGGCCACACACTTACCCGCGATGTCCCACAGCTGCAGGCGCACCAGCGTCCTGCTGTCCCAGTTGAGGACCTTGAGAGCGAAGTCCACCCCGATGGTGGCCCGGTAGTGCTGGGAGAAGAGCTGGTGGACGTAGCGCTTGATGATGCTGGTCTTGCCCACGCCAAGTTCGCCGATGACCAGCACCTTGAAGAGGTGCTCGCGGGTCTCGGGCACCGTGGCGGCGGCCGCCCCCCGGCCCGGGTCCCCGGCTCCGCCGCCCGCCATGAGCGCCCCGGTCTCGCTCAGCCGGCCGGCCGCTCTCGGCAAGCTCGGGCTACGCGCCGGGGCCCCCGCGCGGCCGCGCCCTCCCCGCGGCGCCCTGGGAGCCCCCGCCGGCCGTCGAAACTTCCCCGAGGCCGGCCGCTCTCCCCGCCGCGCTGCCGCAGCGCCTGACCAGTCACAGGACCCGGAACCCGCCGCCACTTGCAGCCCGTGCGGGGCGGGGGAAGGGCCGGGGGCTGGCCTGGCTAGGGAAACCGGGGTGAGGAGGCCTCTGCACGCCGCCGCCTGCGCTCCCGGCGGGCCGGCCCAGAACTCCGGGCACTTCCTCTCCCCGGGCGTCCCCTCCTCGGGGCGGCGCTGAGCTCGGCTGCCCCCTGCTGGCCGCGGGGAAGCCGAGAACACGGGGCCGACGGCTAGCGTTCCCAGAGCCGCGGTGAGCCCAGGCGGTTCAAGGTCAGGCCTCCGAGGCCGGCGGTGAACGCCCCCGGGGCAGAGCGCGGAGGGGCGCTAGGTGGTTGTCCAGGGGGCCGACCCCAGCCTGGAAGGGGCGGGCCTGGGAATCAGCCTCCTTCCCTGGTTCGGCCATGAGGGAGTTTAACACCTGGAGATCATTGTCTTTGATCTCCAGCGGCCCACTTTAGAAGTAAAAAGTGGACGGATGACTCTGAACTCGACAAAGGACTGAAAACGCTTTTGTATAAACGAACGAGTGAGTCTGAGGAAGAAGACACAAGGTCTCCAAAACGATCTTGTTTTACTTCCTCAGCAAACCACAAAAGCCTTTTTAAGTGTTTCGGTGGTAGAGACTCTGAGACAGATCCTAGGAATGGACTGAAATACAGTATTGAGGACTTTTATTTAAAAGAAGAAAGATAGGAAGCCTTACGTTTCCTGCCGTGTTTATAAAATGGAGGGCTGCCCTGCATAAGGTTTAGAAACACCTGGAGCTGATAGCCTCTGGTAGCTTCCTTAAACTAAAGCGGCTGATCACCCTGTCCTCAATCTGATAATCATTGAAAGATGTTTTTCAGAAGTGGAGGCGTTTTAAAATTTAGAAGTCAAGGTGGGAGTAAAACCTTCAATAGAATAGCTACTGAAAAATCGTGGATATGTCTCTAAGGACGTTTTATGGCTAAATAGCTTATGGCTTTTATGCTCACTCAGCTAGAGCCCATCCAGTACATCTCCAGCTTGGGGAAAGAGGAAATCTTCCAATTACTGCCAGAAGTGCAGCATATTGTTCCATACATACGTATTACCATAAATTTTATGGCTTTTATTTTTTTTCTTTAACCCTCCTAGGTTTCCACTGGCATTAAAAATAGAATTGTGGTGCTAAACATCACATGTGGTAAATGATTTAAAATTAGAAATTGTTCCAGCTAAAGGAAGGATAACGGCTTGGATCTGGTGGTTCTCAAACTTGAGTGTTAAGGGTTTGTTACAACAGATTGCACAGTAGGCCCATATCCAGAGGTTCTGATTCAGTAGATCTGGGGTGGAGCCAGATAATTTGCATTTCAAACAAGTTCCTAGGTGATGCTAATGCTGCAGGTTTAGGTGCACAGTGGTTTGGATCAGTACTTACTTCTCAAACTTAGAAGTTCATATGAATCATCTAGGATCTTGTAAAAGTGCAGATTAAGTGTATGGGGCCTGGAGCCTGAGATTTAGAATTTCAGATAAATTCCCAGGTGATGCGAATGCTGTGAGTGGACCACACTTTGATCAGTAAGGGTTTAGATTAGAATTCAGTAGTTTCCACATTTGCTTTGTATCTGACTCACTTGATGTTATGGACTGAATGCTTCTGTCCCCCAAATTTGAATGTTTAAATCCCAGCCCCCAATATGACAGGTTTAAGAAGTGGGCCTTTCAGAGGTCATGAATGTAGAGCTCTCATGAATGAAGAGCTCTTATGAATGAGATTAGTGCCCTTGGAAAAGAGGACACAGCAAGAAGACAGTGGCCTATGAACCAGGAAGTAGGTCTCACCAGACACTGAAGCTGGCTGCTTGATCTTGGACTTCTCCAATTTCAGAACTGTGAGAAATAAATTGTTGTTTAAGCCGCTCAGTTGATGGTACTTTGTTATATCAGCCAGAGCTGACTAAGACACCTGGGGAGCTAGCTATCTAACCTACCCAGACATTCTCTTTTAATCTTTTATCAAAAGTAGAGCCCAGAAAGCTGTATTAGACAACAACGACAAAAAACAAAAACAAAAAACCTAGGTGAGCATGGCACACACCCTTGACTTAAAGAACTACTGATTTAAATAATGCCAAGTAATGTAAGTAAGCAGAACAGCGTCTGCTTGTGAAGCCCTAAATTGGAAAAAGTTGAGAGTTGGATGGGTAGAATGAATAAGTCTTAGGATCCTGAGCTATTTTCGTGGGGAAACAAGTTGTTTTTCATACATAAAATGAAGGGAAAATAATACAAGTAATCTGAGACTTGTGACTGAATAAATAAAACTGTTCTAAACAAACATTTCCATTTACTGCCTATAGGGATGGCCCATTTAGAAAGTCATCCTGTGATACCCTCTCATATTTATTCACATTCTGTGCATGCTATACTCTCCATCTGGAATATATTCCAACCCTTTACCCCACCCCAGGCTCTCCCAACTATAAACTCCTGTTCATTCAAGTGCCAGATCAAGGGATTACCTGCTGTTTTCACTCTGAATTTCCCTGGCAGACTTACACATTCATTTATTTATTAAAAAGCTTCTGATGGTGCCAGGAAATGTTCTAGATACTCCAAGTACAATGATATGAGCAGAAAAGAGAAGATTCTTCCTCTCAAGGGCCTTATACTATACTGGAAACAAGATAGGTAATTAAAGAGCAATTAAATAAATAAAACAATTTCAGATAGTTATAAATCTTATGAGTAAAATAGGAAAATGCCATTTAATGAGTAATCATTGAATGAAGAATAAAAGCTACACTAATCAGCAGGGCTACCCTAAAGGAAATATTGAAAGTAGGTGCCAAGTTGCATTTGTTTACCATGTGGATAACCAATGGTCCCAGGACTGTTTATTGAAAAGACCACCCTTTCTCATTCCTCTGCAGTGCCACCTTAGTCTTAATTTGAGCACTTATATAAGATCGGGTTTGTTTCTACGCTCTCTTCTCTTCCATTAGTCTATGTGTCTGTGCTTTCACCAATTCTTAACTGCCTTAATTACTGTAGCTTTATTATAAGCCTTCTTTTCTGGCAAATCAAACCTCTCATTCTGTAATTCTTTTTCAAGTTTGTTATAGCCATTCTTGTTTCTTTGCATTTCCATATACATCTTCGAATCAGCATCTCAGTGTTCACAAACACACCTGCTGGTACTTGTGTTGGAGTTGCATTGAGTCTGTAGATCAATTTGAGGAAAACTGAAAACATCAAGCCTTCAAAAATATTGACATGGTATATCTATCATTTATGTAAGTCTTAACACCTTTCCATCATATGAAGAGGTCTTGAATTGTGTGTAGTTGGTTTATAAAAATAAAAATAAAAATAAAGTTGATTTGTGTAGAATGAGTTTAGATTCAATGACCCTGATAATTCTAAAATTTTATAGAATTGCATTTTCTATGTGTAGAAACGTATTGTTTTTTTCTTACTTTTCAATCCTTATACATCTTGTTTTTCGTATTTTATTTCACTGGCTAGGACTGCCAATAAAATTTTGAATAAAATTGGAGAGAGTAGGCAACCCAGCTTTTGAGAGGAAGTTTTCAACATATCCTAATTAAGTTGTTTTTGTGTGTGTGTGTTTGCTGCGTTGGGTCTTAGCTGCAGTGCGCAGGCTTCTCATTGCAGTGGCTTCTCTTGTGGAGCATGGGCTCTAGGCGCGTGGGCTTCAGTAGTTGCAGCACATGGGCTCAGTAGTTGTGGCGCACATGCTTAGTTGCTCCGCAGCATGTGGGATCTTCCCAGACCAGGGATGGAACCCTTATCCCCTGCACTGGCAGGAGGATTCTTAACCACTGCGCCACCAGGCAAGTCCCCCCATTAAGTTTTTTTTAATAAACTTTTCATTTCAGGATAGTATTAGATTTATAGAAAAGTTCAAAGATAGTACAGAGAGTTCCTATGTACCTCACCTGCTTTCCCCTGTTGCTCATATCTGACATTATTATGGTACATTTGTCACAGTTAATGAACTGATATTGATACAATTAACTAAAGTCTATATTTTATTCAGATACCCTTCGTTTTGACTTAATGCCCTTTTCTGTTCCAGGATCTCATTCAGGATATCACATTACATTTAGTGAACATGTCTCCTTAGGCTCCTTTTGGCTGTGACGGCTTCTTAGACTTTCCGTGTTTCTGATGGCCTTAACGATTTTGAGGAAAACTGGCTAGGTACAGTTGACCTTCGAACAACAGGGATTTGAACTGTGCAGGTCCACTTACACGCAGAGTTTTTTTCAGTGGTAAATACTGCAGCACTACATGATTTGCAGTTAATTGGAATGGTGGATACAGGAGGCCAACCATAAGTTATACTTGGACTTTCCACTGTGAGGAGGGTTGGCGGCCCACCCCCACTGATGTTAAGTGTCAGCTATATTTTGTAGAATGTGCCTTAATTGGCACTGTCTGATGTGTTCTTCATGACTAAATTTTGAGTTATGTGTTTTGGGGATAGGAAGACCACAAAGGTCCAGTGCCACTATCATAAGTCAAGGGTACATTCTACCATGACTTACCACTGTTGATGTTAAACTTGATCACTTGGCTGAGGTAATGTCTTTCAGATTTCTTCCCTGCAAAGGCTTGCCCCCAACCCCTCACCTCCCTTTCCATATTCCTCTCTTTGGAATGAAATTGCTGTGAAAAACCAACACTTAAGGAGTGGGGAGATGTGCTCCACCTCCCTGAGGGCAGAATCACGACATAAATTATTTGGAATTCTTCTGCATGGTAGATTTGTCTTTTCTCCCATTTATTTATATGTTCAATTATTTATATCAGTTTATCAGGAA